ATAAAGCCAGATTAATTTAAACATATTTAATTTAATTTAGTTAAATCAAAGCAGTTATAGTTAAACATGCTTTGAAATAGATTTAAAATGTATAAAATCAATTTCAAATTGTTTTTGCATCAAATCTGAATCAGATTCAGATTTACTGTATATCAAATCAAATCGAATTAAATTCAGATTCAAATTGGATCAGATTAAACTATTATAGTTTCAAATCAAATTAAATCAATTTAAAATGAATCAGATTTATATTCAATTTATATTTATAAAACTGGATTGAATCAAATCTAGTTAAAATCTGATCTGATTTGATCTATTATGATCATTATTCTTTACTCTTACTCTTATTCTTATTTACCTCTATTCTTATTTTTATCATTTATCATTTCTTTATTATCACTTGTTTCTTACTTATTTTCTTGTGAATTATTATTTTATTTTTTTATCTATTCATTTATACTTATTCTTTTTTTTTTTTGCCCAGATTATATATTATTATAGATAAATTTTAAAGCAAGTTGAAAAAGGAAATTTTATTCAAGGCTTAAAAATACATATCTTTTAGGTGGTATAATTTATTATTAAAAGTTAGAATGAAATCATTGTAAAAATAATTCATAGCTACAAATATTATACAAAAAATTTTTTTAATATTGATAATATGACTAATGATTCAATATAAATCATCAATTCAGAACTTACTAAGTTAGTCAATACTTTTAATCTTCTCAATACAATAAAAATTAATGAATTTTTTAATATTATAGATAAAAATGTTGTTTATGAAATATCTGAAGAAAATAAAATAATTTTAGAACTTATATATATATTTTGAGAAACATATATTGAAAATTTCAATAAAATAAAGAATAATATTGAAACAACAGCTATTAGTGCTAGTATTGCATTAGAAAATTTAAAATGTGTATATATAATAGATAATCATGAAAAATTTATTAAGAAAAAAATTTTAATTCAATGCAACAAGTTAATATTGATAAAATTAATTATAATAAATATAATAATGAATAATAATTATATAATAAATTTTACTATACCCTCTTTATATAATCAATCCCGAAGGGGTGCACTTAGGAAGGTTTATCTGTATAATTAAAATTTCATTTTAATTATTATTTTTTATATTCTGGTTTTAAATGTTCCATACTATATGTTTTCAAATCAATTGTATATCGGATTTCTTATTATATGGATTTTCAAAATCAATAGCGGAAATGTAATTTTATTATGAACACGAAAATGTAAAGAATAATATTATATAGCTTAATAATAAAATTAATAAAAATAATTCTATTGAAAAATTTTGAATCTATTAAATAAAAACATTCGAGTTACATAATAATCATATGACGGTATCGGTTAAAACTCCACGTGCTTGATCATGAGCAAATGTCACTCGGTGCATATACCGCATATGGAAAATGATGTGAGATTAGATTTTTTTTTTTCACTTGCACCAAAGTATGTACAAATTCGGGAGAACTACCCTGCACATTTAATATCCGCATTCGAAACTCAATTTGATGAAATTTACCAAGCGTGCTTCAGGACTCCTATCTGCCTTTGAAAATACTTGCCCATTTAATTCCCTTGCACCAATTCGCCGACGCGACGTTACACAAATCAATGCACGAAGAAACGATAATTCGTCAATATGAAGCAAAAAATTACTAATACACACAAAAATAGATTCCTCACTGAATATGACATGCTGTGTATTTCATCGTTTATGTGTGCGTGGCGTGTAGTGCGTTTTAAAGATAATTAATTATTAAGTATTTCATCATGGCAAAACTTTTTTGTGCGCTGATTGCTTTTCCTTTCTGAGAATTTTTGTAATCCCGTTAACTGGTTGATCATATAGTCATGTAAACCATTTTGTCATATGGGCGAGCTTGGGCTAATACTATTTGGTTAAAAATTCCAACTAAACTCAGTTCCTGCAGAAAAAAAAAAAAAAAATTATTAATGCAGTATTTCCTAAATCGTTCGCACAATTTGATTTTTTTTTTTGTCTGTATATAAATACCGTTACTTTTAAATATAAATACATAGACTTCTTTAAACTCGAACCTTTTAGAATACATGCCTGTGTAATTTCAACGCACATTTGTTGATCCTGAAAGGAGAAAGCTCTTGATCACAAATAGTCTTTTAGCTTGTCCATCTAAAGTAAATAACTAAACTTGAAATTACGTATTCACGATATCATAAATGATAAGACAAAATACGCACTAAAAGAAAATCGAAAATATAAATAACGATAACAACTTCATGAGAATTGTATTTCCCCTTGGAAAATGGGAATCGTATTTATATTGATAATACACCTATTTACAAGTCTCGCACTCGCGCAGGAAACGTGGCCAAGCCTTGATGTGCCCCCACCGATAATGCCTGAATTCAATGCACTAGTGAACTTCGACAAAATACCTCCGGCCCCTGTTAGACTCAATGAAAGCGCGTGTCCGACAACGAATTCCTATTGCAATTGGTATTGTACAGGATGTTTAAATGAAGACATCACCAACTGCCCAAATCCTGGAGGTAATCCTTTTATATAAATTGGGTTTTACTTTTCTGTTGCATATTTGAAGCGTGTAACAAATGTGATTATTATTATTATTATTATTTTATAGATTGGGGTCTCTCCTTCGACGACGGTCCAACGTAAACATTCACTTTATACGTTCTAATTAAATTGTTTGACATATTAATCATATGACTCTATTACAGGATTTACACAGTCGATCTATTAAGTTTTTTAAAGTCACAGGGAATCACCATTACCTTTTTTGTGATTGGTTCTAATGTGGTCAAGCACCCGGAAATTCTGAAACAGGCCTATAACCTAGGTATATTTCGAAATAAAATAATGTCGTCATCTTGCAAATAAGTAACCTATAGTAAAAAATGAAAGGTCACGAAATCGGAATTCACACCTGGTCTCATCCATACTTGACCACCCAGAGTAACCAGCAAATAATAGCTGAATTGCAATGGACTGCAAAGATTATAAATGCCACTATCGGTGTTACTCCCGCATATATGCGTCCTCCATACGGTGATGTCGATGATCGAGTTCGCAACATCGCATCTCAACTTGGCTATAAGGTTGTTCTCTGGGACAGAGACACCAAAGATTGGATGTTCTCGAACTCGGCCTTCAAATTTAGTTGGATAGAAGAAAATTTTACCACATGGGTAAATCAACCGTCTACTACCGGTCATATATCACTTGAACACGATTTATATAATCAGACTGCTATGCAAGGTCCAAAGATCGTGCCCATTCTTCTCGGTGCACACTACAAGATTAAACCTGTGGCTCTATGTACTGGGGACACTAATCCTTATCAAAGTGATCTTAATGATTCCAGTAACAATGGTTCAACGCAGACCACTTGTTCGTCTAATTCGCCCACCTCGACATCTACTTCAACTGCGGTGACTGCTGGTTTATCTGCGTCAACAAGCGTTGACGTATCATCATCCGCAACGATAATTCCTCGTGATTTTACGACAATTTTTTTATTCGTAATCGTCTCATGCATTCACATTCTGGCATTTGGCACATTACGTAATATGCTTATGTAATTATAGGATTAGTGTTAATTTTTACTTAATTATAATCCATTGTATTTTAACTATACTATTCTATCTAAATAATCGAAAAATAATATAAAAATACATAGTTAATATTTATACTTGAAAAATATACTGTATATTGATTAATAAGTTTTTAATAAGTATTATTTATTTATATAATATTAACCTTTTTTTTAAATGGATTACCAATAAAAATAATATAAAAAACTCTTTTCACTGATCCTCTAACTATACATAAAAAAGATGTTCACAAGAAGTTTTTATACTTCTTTGCTAATAAAGTCTTGATACTTTCCTTAAAACAACTTGAAGTATGACTTCAAGAGTTGCCTCTACCCTTTCCCTTTTGTTTACAAATCTCTTCACTCAAAAACTTGACTTCTAGTGACCAAGAAAAGTCAAGAAA